GGATCCCGCGGTGCGGGGCCGCCCTCTGGCCTGGCCTGGGAGCCGGACGAGGGCTCGAGTGGCCGACCCTGTCGTTCACAGAGAGCGCTCTGAGGGTTTCACGCCCACCGCTTTCTTTTAACTCTTCCTGTGTCTCTTCCTTGTTCGGAGCGAGGGCGGTGTGGCACGCTTTCACTTGGCTGGTGTTTGTGTGTTTTAAATTAAAAGCCTCCTGAGCCTAGAAGGTTGGTTCTGATGCCAAGGAAGGGTGAAGGAGAAACCTTGGGTGGTGTGGGCAGCAGCTGGCTTAGTCTCGTCCAGTGAGGAAACCACGGCAGTTTACTATGGGGAGAGGGAAAGCAGGCGCCTGGACCCTGGCCTTCCCTACAGTGTGTGGACTACATGGAAACTGTCACCAAATCTTCTAGTTTTTCAGTTCTTGTTCCTGGGCACCACATTCCTGTACAAAATCCCCGTTTAATTTTATACTGTTTCTGTTCCTCCGCAGTCTTTAACCGGTAATTTAATAACACAGTCATTGTTCTTTTGCCTAAGGGTTTGTAGTCCTTATCTCTCTTCATACAGTGTACGTTAAAGTGAAAATGTCAGCTTTAACATTTAAAGTTGTCCTTTAAGTACCTAACTTTGATAGAACCTATGACTTAGAAGAGAACATTTTTCAACGAATGTTGTTGTGGCTTAGTGAGGACAACTACAAACATCTATTCAGTGACCGAAGTTTCTCTTAGGAGACAGTAAGCAGTTTGCACCAAAGTACTTGATCAGACCAGATAACCTGTCAGCGATGCTTAGAGTTCCTGAGGTTTGTATGGGGGTGGAGGGGCACTTCTAACTGAACAGAACAGCCTTTCTAATGTCTGTGATGCTAGAAACATGCACATGTTGACAGAGATTTTTATAGTCCCTGAGAGAAACACAGTCTGTAGAGTAAGAAGATGGCTGTGAAGAAGTGAGGCGTGGCACCAAACCCATCCATGTGAGGGGAGCCGCTGAGGTGTGCTCTGGAAGCTGTCTAGCTGTTGAGCTTGCTGTGGTAATGGTGCATTTCTTCCGGTATTTGGGAAGTCTGGTGTTCTTGAGCAAGGTACTAATAAGCCATACAGAGTGGGTTGCTTTATGGGCTAAGCAGACAGTTTTTTTTAATTTCCAAATGTTAACTGGGTGTCTCCCGTTCTCCACCCTTTGCCTTGCTTGTGCCCTTGGAGGCTGAAGTCGACAGCATTTCTTGTCCTCTTGGTACCATGTGGTGGATCCAACAGATTTTAGGTTCTTGTGCATGGCAAGCAATGAATTGTGAAGTGTATGTGCAATGGTGAGGGGAAAGCAGCTACATTTATTGCAAGTCACGAGCAGAGAAATGGATGATAGAAAAGGAACTCCACATGCCTGCAGACAAATCAGGCTCTTGGGCCCAAGAGAAAAAGAGGAAAAAAGACCTGTGTGTTCTTTGGTCTGGGGGTAGGACTGGTCCACCAATTTATTCCACTGTGCCCCCTTGGCAGGTCATGGCTGTTGCAGGTGGATTTTCCTCTGCCACATGACTTTCTAGGCTGCTCTCTTCCACAGCTATGGCTCTCACAAAAGTCTAGCACCTTACAGGTCTAGGGTTCCCGCAGGTGGTTGTCTCTGTTGTGCACCATTGCTGTTGGGTTTTCTTAAGTCTGTCTGTATGTTTGAAATTATTTCATTTATTAAGCTCTTTAAATTCTTTGTGCATATCAGGTGTTTCCGAATGAGAGGAGGTCACACTCTTATTTCCTCTTTTATACTGAGTCAGAGATTTGGGAGTCAAAAGTTGTCCAAAGAGCTCTGGATGTAGCTCAGCAGTACAGCACTTACCCAGCATGTGTGAGGCCCTGGATTCAGTTTTCAGCAGCACAAACGAAAAGATTCAGCTATACCACTCCTCGTATACACCCAAAGTAATTAAAGTTAGCATATATAGAAATTTCTGCATAGCTGTGTTTGCTACCACACAGTTCACAACAGCCGAGGCATGGAAGCAGCCTAAGTACCCATCAACATACAAATGGGTAAAGAAAATGAACGTATAAAAAAGGGAGTAAAGAAGAGGAAAATCATGTCATTTGCCAGATGGTATATAGAACAGGAGATCATCATGTTAAGTAAAATAAGCCCGGTTCAGATAGATAAGTATTGTGTATTTTCTTGTGTTTGTGGAATCTAGAAAAATAAAAGACAGTATAAAAGTAGAAAGGAGACTATGAGACAAGAGGGAGAGAAATCAAAAGGAGAGGAGGAGGGGGAAGGCAAGAGAGGATTGTTAACTTGTGTAGGGATGCCCAGCTGAATGGAATGCCCAGCTGAATTGAGTCCGTGGTTCTGGGTGTGGAAGATCTGCTTAAGGAGGAGTATTGTCAGAATGGTACAAAAGGATAACAGGAGGGGAGGAGTCTAGGCCCATTTCCCTTGGGAGGGTTTCACAGCGGCTCATTTTCTTCCTGGCTGTATTTCTTTGGAGGAGCTTCAGCTGGTCTCTTCACCTTTGCCAAGAAGGGCTTCTGTTCTTTTGGGAGGATCTCTGGTCTTTGCCCTCACCTTGAGTGTCATCTCCTGGTTTTTGATGCAGATTCTTCAGACTGCATCGAGGTTCCCTGCACCTTTGGATAGGGACTTGCCTGGACGGTGCTTCGGGATCCAGTCCTGGGCTGGATTCTTTGGATCTCTAGTGCACTCTTCTACATTTGTCTCTGTGAGCAAATATTGTAAGCTACTCTTGTAAAATTCTGTGTCCTACATTAAATCTGTTCTCTTGTAAATACTGGCTACAACAGTCACAGTGTAACCCAATATTCTGCTTAACTCATGCTCTGATTTTAAAAAAGTCATCTCAAATGACCAAGATAAAGTGACTCACAGCTGTCACTGTTGCAAGCTAACCGCAGGGAGCGGTCAAGGGCTCCATAATGAAATAAAGGGAGGATTACTATTTTAGAAGAACAAAGTCAAACTCAAGTTAATAGGAAGAATATGCTTTTGTCACAGGAGACATACCAAGGACAAGCAGACAAATTGTTTGTTATTTCTAGGAATGTTAATCCCAGGAGAGGGCTGAATTCCCAGGTCCACAAAGCCCCAGATCAGCAATCAGAAATACAGAAAATAAATATAGTCAGTACATTCTGGAACAGTTGTTGATGGAGAAAAGGCATTTAAAAAGCACATTTGTAAGCCAGGTGTGATGGTGCACACCTGTAATGCAAGTCCTTTGGGAGTGTGAGGCAAGAATTTTCCAGTTCAAGTCCTACCTGGGCAATTTAGTAAGATCCCATCTCAAAAACAAGTATGTGTGTATGCATATAAAAACAAGTATGGTGGTAAGGTGTAGCTCAAGGTTGAGCACTCCTAGATTTGATCCCCAATACTATACACACACACACTCACACACATACCCCACATACAACCAACACATTTGTGTACTGACTGAAAGACTAACTAGTAGATTAGGAAAATCTAAGCTAAAGTCAAAGAATTAGCATAGAAAGACAGTCCTGTGATACTTTTCTTAGACTAGAGCTTTCCTCCACATGCACCAAATTTTGAAAGTAACATTGAACTGCTTGGATAGAACATTATAAAATATAAAGAACTGGGTTGGACAGTTAATGGAGGAGCCAAAAACATTTACTTTTAGAGAAGTTTTATTGGATGCTTTCTAGTTTGGCTCTGTAATAACAGGAATAAATGTTCTAATTATAATCTCTGTCACTGATGCATTTTTTAAAGGGCGTTCACAGGCAGGGTGTCTCAGAAATGTACTTTCAGGACGATGGCTCACAGACTTCAGGGCCTTATTGACATATGCAGGGATCATGCATGTCCAAAAAGAACCCTAAATGTAGCCCCCAGAGGCTCTCCTAACAGGTCTGGTGTTTGACTGAATGAATTTTACCTGCAAATACCTTAGATATGCACTTAGTTTCTCACTGGATCTGTGGAAGACTTGATTATAACTTCATTCTAGCAAGGGAAGCTTTTTTAAAGAGAAAAATCAAGTTTTACATTTGGTCCAAAATAATTTTACTTGGTTTCTGTCATTTATCTACTCCACCCAAGCCTAGATTCCTGAGATTCCCGGCATGGGAAGCTGTTTGAAGACGGGATTTCAGCTTGCTGTGTAATCAGACAACTTGTGAGGGCCCAAAACGCGGACTGTAGCTTGCTAAGTCATGACAGGATGGGTTTGGGTTTGAGTAGAGTTCTTACAGTGACTGCCATGTGTGGAGAAATCATAGGTAGCTCGAAATGCCATCTTTATTTTCATTAACTGAATTTTAGCAATTTGTTTAATTACAAATACTGATAACAAACCCCATGGGTATTCACAGTAGCTATCACTTTGTTTCCCAATAGTTTTGTCGCTTTGGAATTGTTATGGATATCTCAATTTATTATGTATGCTGAATACTTCTCCAAACTAACTAGTAACTATTTGGATCTACAACCAGATCTTACTGATGAATCAGTAGTGAGGCACATATATTACTACATCATGCATTTACTTTTTTAATTTGATAACTCCTTTTCAATGTGACTGGTTTCTCTTGTAATCCTATATATTTTTTTTAAAAATTATTTATGTACCAGGAATGGAATCCAGGGGTGCTCTACCCCTGAGCTACATCCCCAGCCCCCCTCCCCTTTTTTGAGACAAGATCCTGCTAGGTTACCTCATTTTTTGCTTATTTTTAAAATGCATTTTTAAGCAATATTCTGAGGAGAGGTCCACAGGCCTTATGAGCTTGCCAAGAGTCTATGACACAAAAATGTTGAGCACCCCTGAGCTAAATGAACTCTAAGGTTTATTTCCACCTTTAAATCTAGACCTGAAAACCACAGGAATAAATCAAACACATCTTACAAAGCACAATCACTACCCTAAGATGATAAGAATGCAAAAAACAGCACTTACAGGATTTGATAGTTCTTTTGGA